CCCTCGTGTAACGAGGATGGCCGGCCCAAGGGCCACCTTGGGGTGAATTTGTTTTTAAATTGTAGAGACTGTCGCCAATACAACAACCACACCCTAAGTTAACGAGCTGCATGACCCAGTGTCAAAGAATAGTCCGAGAAGACCGGACAACTTGCCAACTGCACTGGCTAACTATTACCCCGGAATACGATCCGCAACTCAATTAACATCCAGGTTCCCATTTACTGCTGGGTAGACAGAGGCAAATGGCGTAAAGAAACTTGCCCATAGTTTCACTCTGCCCGGGAATGGAATTCGAATCCGCTCGCTTGCGAGGCGTACATGCCTGCTGACCATCACACCACACACACATACATACATACTTGGATATAACACGATATAGATCTCTTATAAGAACTATTTTGAGAATATTTCCTCTTTACATAATATAGTCAAAGTGATAATTACAGCAAAACGCATATCAAGGTTGTTAGAAAGTTGGGGGCGAGACAAAGGTTCATCTGTGGGTCAACTCAGAGATATTTATGCTAGCTTGAGTAACTGTAAGTACTTATTGTCCTTTAAGGGTTAGGGAACGAATCAATTAAGTGGACTAATGGGAGTATGGAGGTGGGTGGGACTCCTGGCGGGCTGTATGGGTGGAGGCCTGAGGCTTGACTGGTGAGTGGTAAGTCACACACCCTCAAGTAAAGTGCATTGTTACTAAGTTGTGGGGAAGTCGTCGTCCTTCAAGCCTGTGTGTGTGTGTCACTTCAGATTAAAACAGTGATCTAAAGCATATAAGAAAGTAAATCAACCACTTCAACGAAAACTTTACTATTTTTTGACATAATTTTACACGATACAAATTCTTTCAACAGTTAGGAGGTATTTCACTCCTCCATTGTTCTATAGATTAATTAAGATAATTTTATTCCACAAATAATGCGTCAGATCCTATACAGTAAGGCAGGACAGCGTGCGTCATAATAGGCGTTTGTCACATACGCTTCGTCATTAGACATACAAGGTGTGTGTTCCTGTATCAACACGGTGATCTAGGAAGCTTGAGGCTAATGAGGGATCGTTGTTGGCTCAGCTGACGGAGGTAGGTGAGGGGAGGATGCTGTAAAATAACCGCACCATCGTCACACGGTAGGTCAGTAGTGTTTTACCAATAATACAGATTATTTTTACTTGTTCAATAATTTAAAAAAGTAATCTTGCAATATTGTATAATCGTCGCACATATGTTTAAGATCTTGGTTGTTAATGCACGAAACTACTTCATAAAAAAAATCGTAATAACGTCCTCAAATTTGTTGTTTTGTGTTGAGTGACCACAGCCATTGAAGAGCGTTATAACAACCTCTTGTAAACTTATTAAATCGGAAAGGTGTAAACAATGAAGAATCGGGTATTTAAGTATATTGATCCACACAAGGCAATGTAAAGCGCACACACACACACACCCACACACACACACACACACACACACCCACACACACACACCCACACCCACACACACACACCCACACACACACACACACCTCACTAATGTGTATTGATCGTCATCCAAACAGATCAGAGCTCAAGACTCTATAAACAAGTATTCGTGATATTGTTTACCACTCCTGACCGGTATTTAATTCCATATCTTAAAGTTTATATTATTAGAATGACATAATATTTTAACCTTGATAGTAACCAAATAAATAAACACCTAACGAATATTATCTTAGGGGTTAATTAAGGCTATATACAGGGTCCTTACTCTCAGTTTTCCGTAAGATAAAGTTCCATCGTAACTACTCCTAAAACACATTAAATAACATATAGTAATAACACCAAAATTACGCTGGGACATTATCTTAATTACTTATTATCTTAAAACACCAGGGACTCGAAATTTGTATGTAGCCTTTGGTGAGAATTTGTTTCAGAATTTTGTATTAACAGTGTATCGTAACTGGTGTTGAATGAAGGTGTTTAGTTAAGGCAGAGTTGTGAGTACTTGTGATGGTGTTTTGGAAGGTAGTTTTATGCTCGGGTTTAAATCAGACCGTTTGGGTACATCTTTACGAGTAATATTCAGCGTGCGAACCTGTAGTGACTCTGGATCCCGGCCACCTTAGGCTATATCATAAATTCCAAGTGTTGTTCCCGCCTAAAGTTGTAAGTGTGTGAGTCTGGTTGATATTAACACAACAGCGGCCACTTATTGTTCCATAATGCCGCCCTGATCTTTTATAAACCTGATTTATTAAACGACGACCACAAGAAAGTGTATAAAAAGAAAATTGTTTGTATTGTTGAGGTTGTCTTGGTGACCCACGAAAATTAAGAAGTAAACTTGTACCCTGTTCTACCTAGTGACGAATGACAGCATCTGATTGGCTGATTCATTACCCAATGATAGCCACATCACATTTCAATACAAACATGGCGAAGGGGAGAGAAGATTTAGAATTTGTGATGGAAACAAAACGTGTTTTTGTCGCTGTAAACACAAATCTTTAAGATTTTTAATTCCAATACATTATGAGTAAGATGTTTAAATTCTAGACATAGCGACTGTCTTTACGAGAGGACGGGGACTGACACCCTTTGATAACATTGATGTCAGCGAATGCTAAAGCCAGAACAGTTTTGGTGATTTCATCCTTATAGCGACCAAGGGCTGAAGAATACCCTGATAGTGACATGGCATTTGTTTGGAATTAAATGCTTGTAAACGTTTAAACTCTTATTTCTCGCTCACCATTTCTATTTTTGAGGAATTACAATTGCATTATAATTGGATAGCAAATCAGCCAGTCAGGTGTTGTAGTTCGTCGCTAGGTAATACCTGTTGTCTATGTTTACAGAAAGAAGGGTACCAGTTCACGCTGCACAGTAACACATAAGTATTAGGATGCACTGGGATGTGTTCAGACACATCCCAGAAACTTGCAGGTCAGGTGGGCAACCATCCTAAATGGCCCCACTCTAACCATACCTAACCTAACCATTAATATTAAGACCCATTTGGATTGAGGCCAATTAGGACTGAGGACCATCAGGGCTGAGCCTCAATCCTAGTGGTTATGTTGGGTCTTAAGATGAGGGGTCCTGTGGTCAGTCCTCCTCACCATCCCACCACTTCAGCACCTTCACGTTGACCTTGTCTTATATAAAAATGCAGCATAAGCAAGAAACAGTTAACTTTATCTTACGCGTAACTCGTCCTGTGCGTTAAAGGATCTCTTGAACCTTAGGAACAATGGTTGACATTTGTGTGATGTGTAGCAGCAGGGACTCAGCCAACATGGACTACCTGACAGAATGACAAGTTACCTGCCAACCACCAAAACATCCCGGCCTCTGACTCCCATAGTTCTATACGTTAATCATACTCGTAACTTCGTAAGCGAGGACGAAAGCTTTTGACTGTGACATAAACTAAATCACAAAAATAACTCCCCAAATCACCGAACCTAACCTTAACTAAAAGAGATCTATTTAACACCAGTTAGGCAACAAAAGTTAACGTAAAGTCTTTGTAGATCCGGCCCCTGGATATCACAGCCTCGCGGAGATGCATCGACGGTGGAAAATCGTGCAGAAGGACTCCTATAATTACATTCCAATCAGATATCACCTGTAGAGATCAGTTGGCACCTCCCCGCAGCTCCGCCCTCTCCTCCACTACCAACAGTGAAACAATGTACACTATTGGTCTTCGCTAGACGGAGGATCTACCTTCCATTACTTATACAATTGTTGTATCAGTTCCCCTAAATAAGACAGCAAGAGAAACCATTGTAGCAGGTCCCGAGGCCCTTCACACAGCCCGGAGGCAAGTCGCTGTACTCTGGTACATCTCGTACATTCTGGCAACTCAACGAGAAATCCAATTTAAATTCCGGTCTTGGTAGCCATTCACTGAGTTTATTTCACTTAGGGAGACTGATACTGTCGGGTTCTCTGTAGTAATACCTACCTTGATGTGGATTTTTGTTTGTAAGGATCGATACTAAAGACAAATGAATAAATCTCCCTGATAATCCGGCAGTGGATTTTCCGCCTTGGTCGTGTCGGTCGTGGGAAGAAATTGCCGCCAGTTAAGTTGCCAACCATTAAATTAACCAAATATTTCCACAAAGATAACACACAAGACATCAATGCTCAGCAACAATTTATTTAATTTTACACTTCTTAATCTTATATATGACGAGGAAGAGGTAAACAGGTGTCTGGTTAAAATGAAGTCAAATCGTTGTATCTCTTAAGACCATCGGCCAGGTGGGGGTTGCCACTACCACTCATGGCCACTGAAATTCGAACTTTTTTTTTTATTTGTCTTTTTTTAGCTATTTCCTGTGTCCACTCTCATCGTGTTCCTGCTGTTACTCGGTGTCTTATGGGTTTTAGGTATATTTATCAGTTTGATTCAATTACAGAACCATACACAATATAATGACATTGAAAAGGAGTTAATATGCAGTATAACCAAAAATGGTTGCAAAATTCATTTATTCATGTATTTATACTAACACTAAATTTCACCATTATAAAAACGACCAGTTCAGCCAATTTTAAGGGTAACAACAATAACACCATTATCTAACTATAACTGCAAGAACATGTCGAATTGTCTTAAACTTATGTAATAGTATGGCGAATTTAAGTTTTACAGTATTGTTCAATGAAATATCAGATAGGTGTCAACAGGCGATAGATGGCTCAAGTATCAGTGATGACTTTAAAATCTGAAAGATAATGTATTCAACATTGATTGATTCATATGTGTAACTTTACTCACTGGGTTCATTTTGTTTATTAAAAGATTGTTAGTAATTCGTGTTAGGCAAGTAAATTACATAAACATCTGTTTGAGTTCGGAAAAACATTTGATTGAAAAAAAAAAAAACTTGCACGTGCAGAGAAATCATTCAAATGGTTGTGTGTGGATCTTTAAAAGTCTGCGCGCCTCCCCGCCTGAGTCTTCGACCCGGCATTGTTGGAACTCTTCCAGATTGAGAGTGAACAGTGAGGCGAGAGGTTGTGTGTGCTCCTGTGGTGTGACGTAGACGGTGGTGTACTGTCCCATTGTTTTTGTATTCGACTCTTTGTGTGTGAGAAAGGTTATGTATTTGGTATGCGATCGAAAAGACATAAAAATGTGAACGTAAGCTGTGAATTAGTGATGATAAAGCGGCCAAGTCGCCGCGAACCAGTTGTGACTGAGCGGCCCATCGCATCGAGATGAGGGCCCGCCCCTCGCGTCGGCAGGTGAGTCTCCGTCACCCTGTCTTGTACACCAGTGTTTCCTTCTCTCACTAATTACCTAGAATTTACTCTTCATCTGTGTGTACATATACAGATTGTACATCCTAATAGTCCTTTAATTTTAAAACCGGATAACATTGTTTTACATTACTTTTTTGAGGGGACAGGGCGCCTCTCCCCCGTGAAGGGTGTGGTAAATATACTGTAGCAGTTGTCCATGTATTGTTGCTTAATTTAGTCAAACCAAGCATTTCTATATAATTATAACCTTATTGCAAAGTTTGGCACAATATTTTCAGTTCATCGAGTATTATTTATTTTTTGGCAGACTTCAGTGCCTTCTCCTTCCCCTCCCCGGGGTGGAAATGGAAATTGACATATATATTTCCTCACCATTAATTTGTATAGCTCTATAGTGGATATAATCTTAAGATACATGCATCAGTGTTTATATAACCCATGTTTACATGTCTAGTGGTGTGAGGGAGGCTCCCAGGTGGTATATGCAGTACACTACGAATTAACAGTCCTCGTCATTTTCTTGCAAATCTACTTAATTAAGAAAAAAACGGAACACCTGAAGATTCGTCCCACCTGCTTATTTCACCTGATATAGTAATCTAATGCTAATTTATCCTACTCCCCAGGTAGCGTTAGGGTGTTTAGTCATCAGGTGACACGCACTTGGGAGGCGAATATTTTGGTCAGAAACAATATATATATATATATATATATATATATATATATATATATATATATATATATATATATATATATATATCGTTTTGTTTGGATCTACTTTGAATACTTAATTGATGTTATCGGGAGGAGTCACCTTGGCATCAACCAGTGATAACACTCAGCAGTGAGGATCAGAGGATAGGACCAACTGAGTAGTGGTTGAACTCGCCTTAACCTGTGGCAGATATTGGTAGCCTCCTGCAGGGCCTGATCAAGGTCTTGCCACACCTAGTAATCAGGGTTTACTGAACTTGCCTTACGTGAGAGACCCGCAATCATGGACCCGGATTCGTTAGTAAATTTTCGTTTTCAGGTGATGGGGAACGCATTTAATCTGGCTCATTCAAATATGGCAGCCGCAATACTCATCAAATTGCACTGAAACTGAATCTGAACTAGAAGAATATTGTTATCCCTGACAAAGGGGGAAGTTAATGTACAATGTCGTGAGAATCTGTGTGTTGCATATTGCCGGTAACTTAGTGGCACAGTAGTGGCTTTGATGCGTCTTCGGACCACCACAGTGACGCAACTCAGGCCACAAGCCGGGTGAAATATATGACCCGTCTTAGGGTAGATCACGCCAGCTGATAGTGAACGGCCCACCACATATTTCCTGATGCTTACCAAATTTTGACGGTCGGCTTTTGGATGTAGTTGGCTGTGAACTTTCAAGAACTTATTTAAGTGAGTGTACGTGAAGTCTTCATCCATCTTTAGTTCATTCAAGAATATATAACTTATGTTTATTTTTGTATGTAAGCTCTGGGTATCGCCGTGTGTTGTTAACTTTAGCTCTTTGCTGTGTTCAGCAGTTATATAAACATTGACTGTAGTATATGTAATCTACAATACTGTATAGTCTTTTGTTTTCGAGAACCCTAAATGATTACTATATTTTAGGACGTGCAATAAAGAGGAACCTAAAATCAGTAAGAATAAAGTCTGATGATATCTTTAACACTTTATTCCTGCTGATTTTTAGGTTCCTGTTTATTATTGCACGTCGCACGTCTCGAATAAAAAAATACCTTTTATTTTTATGAATAAGTTAGCCTTCTTTGTAAAGGTTTCATAAATAACTGTAAAACCGCAATATATTTTTTATTAAAGATAAAATAAAGCATATTATTCGACAGCCGTCTTCTGGTACAGTAGGTGTACAGTTGTCGTTGTCGGGATGGAACAAACTTGGGCATTGCATCCTCCTCGTGGTTGGTGATATGATAGTTGCTTTGTTGTGGTTGTCACTTGTGTGATCTTTGGACAGTCACTCCAGAGTCACAGTCTTCTCTTTGTGTGATAGGGATATATCCAGCATTGCTCTACTCGACATCACTGCAGTCCGAGAATGAATTTCAGTGGGAGTGAGTCTTTTTGAGTGTTCATAGGGGGAAGCAGAGGTGAAGGGAGACAGAAAGAGGAAACGGAAGCACACACTAGTGATAAATGCGCCAACACCTGCATGTGGCTGTAAATTTTCAAGTGAGGGAGCGGTGTTGGAGGATGGTGTTGGTGCAGGTGGCTGTGGGAGGCCCAACCCAACTGTACCTCCAACTAGTCATGGTGGGTTCCTCCTGCCACACCGACACTCCCACCCTGAGGCCATCTCCACCACCCGTAATTTTCTGAAACCACTGTCATCTGGGACCTGACTGGAACTCTCCTTGTCTGTTACGTGAAGAACAACATTCTGGTTGATCACTAGCGTTACGGAGAGCTTGATCTAAGCTGTCTGGAGGCGACTCTTCTTCCTGCACACATATTTACACCAAGACAATAATATTTCACTTTTGTGTTTACCCACCACATTAATATTTTCTTAACGTTCAGGTAACCCAATGTTTTGTGATCTAAGTTTGACATGATGATATTTTTGGCGGGATATTGGGGAGTGGTTGTGTATATTACCGTGAATTATATTCACTGGCACGGATAACTTCTCGGTGTTTGTTTTAGGTTACCAAGACTGCGTATATGTTTCTTCCCCTTCCGAAGAAGCGTATTCACTTGATTTAACCACAAATAATGCTACATGAAAAGGGAAGTCTACCATTTTAGCTTTGAAATATTCATATACTTGTTTTCAGAAATGTTTGTCTACGGTGAGTTTTGTATTGACAAATAGCTCATTGGTAATGCAGATCTGAAAGAGTGGATAAACATGGTTAAAACGAGGATGGTTTATGAGAGGATTCATCATAAGGGAGGCGATGTCCTTCCTAATTTACATGAAATTTGCATAAATTGAATCTGTCTTTCTTGGTAGATATCGGTGAGGATGATATTGCGTTGAATAATATTTGCCATTGTGTCTGAGGTGTCTGGCGAATACATGTTACTTACATACTTGTTTATAATCTCGTTTTTGTTCACTATTTGTTTTTGTTTTAAGAATTATCAATATTTCTTACAAATATCTTAGTAAGTTGAAATTATACCCCCCCCCCCCAATCTCTTAAGCGTGAAATATATTACCCGGTACTGTGTGTTTCTTATGTGTAGTCAGGGAAAATAATAACATGGGTTGAAAATTCACTCTGATATTTTTAACGTTCTTGAGGAGATTAACGTACCATAAACTATTACACTGTGTCCACCAGTTTGACGTAGTGTGTGTAGAGTCGCAGGGGGTGTGTTAACGAGGAGTCGCCCGGTGTAGAGCAGACAGTGTGACATGACAGTATTCTGTAAAGTTGTTTGCCTTACTGGATCTTGGGCTGTTTCCATGTAGAGTTTCACAGTATATTGTGGTTATATTTATACTCGCTCCACGGTGAAGTTTAATAATAAAAAGTATATGATAGAATATACAGAGAACATACTCTTATAGTCACTGCTGAAGATAATGTCAGGGCTTAGATTTTATTGTTTTAATATATATCTTTATGTTCATGTGGGTGTCAGTTCCAAAGGACTATATTATGTTTTGCTAATTGAAAGTGGTACAGCAGAGTGAGACCTTCGGGTTTATGTTTGGAGCTTATATTCCTAGATAGTATTTGTGTACGGTACTCAAACTTGTTTTCTGATGAGTGGTGAAGATGATGTCCAAGATGAACCAGTTTTTTTCCCTCCGTCACGCCTGACTGACTGCTAGGCAAAAGGTTCAGGACCAGGGTGCTAAGATGATGCCACTACCCCTGGGTTTGTTTACCGCGTCTCCTGCAGGGTTCACGAGGTCTACCCTGGGGATCACAGCATCTGGTGGTGGTGGTCACAGTGGATTCTGTTTACCAATTACCTGTCTGACCACTCGACTCATTTTGGGTACTTGAGTCATTTCCATCTAATCATCTCGACACAGCAGATGTTTGTTCTGCATTCCCCCTTCATCTAAAATTTAACTACAAGCTATTTTGTAATCATCCGTATGACTGTAACCTAATTTGTGATTTTTGTCAGGAATAGCGGATACACACTTATCATTATTACTTGGCGGATATATGGTGGTTTCAGTCTTCTGTACGTCAGAGTGAAGCTTAAGAGGTAATTTTGTAATTATCTGTATTAGTCAGTCTCCTTAGGCCTTGTTTTGGCTGAGTTCTTACCTGGGAGATATTTGGCCGTGTCTTTATGTTGACTGTTGAGTTATACACAAGTCTTATCATTCTAAAAAAAAAAAAAAAAAAACTAACAATGAGAAGACCAAATTGAAATCGAAATTGAAACGATTTATTTAGCCAGAAAAAAAAAACACTGAGATAAATTGAACAATAACAACGACACCTTCCCAGTAATGAACCACAAAGTAATTCCTGTGTCACCTCCTTACTGTTGAGTTGTCAGTAAATTCGCAGGTCATCTGAATGAACCTATTGGTAATAAGTGTTGTTTAGCATGAGGCAGCACACTGTTATTTGGTGACTGTGTGTGTGTGTGTGTGTGTGTGTGTGTGTGTGTGTGTGTGTGGGTTAATACTACTGGTCCTTGGGGATGATTACACTCTGCCTTTAGCTTCAGGGTTTAGCTGATTGTATATATCTAGCTGATGGAGGAAGCACATCTTGTTTTGTACACAATCATTGGGCCCAGTGTCCTTGTAGGGTCTTGGTGTATCTTTGTTTATTTTCCAACACATCTTTGTTTATTTTCCAACACATCTTTGTTTATTTTCCAACATATCTTTGTTTATTTTCTAACACATCTTTGTTTATTTTCCAACACATCTTTGTTTATTTTCCAACACATCTTTGTTTATTTTCTAGCACATCTTTGTTTATTTTCTAGCAGATCTTTGTTTATTTTCTGGCAGATCTTTG